GAACTTACTGGTAGGGAAGATGAAGTTTATACCATTTTTAAGCAGGTTTTTTTTAAGCAGTCATGCACTCACATTCATTTTCTCATTGAGTGGTGGGTGTGTGTGGGAGCTGGAGTAGGATCAATGAAACATGAGTCCTCATGACTTCTCTGAGTGACCATATCTTCATTGGCAATGACAAAACTAATATTTGAGCAGGTGTTTTTTACCTGATAGGGGTCATCTGTTGCTGCAGAGTGGTCCTTTGCCTCCAAACCTTACTAACCCCAGCCTCCATAGCCCACAAGCCGTGCTGCTGCTTGTGGTATGGTTCTCCTTGTTTGAAAGATGCGTCTAATTTGCAACAGGCTAACAGAACAGGCTGGTCTATGTCCCATGTCCTGCTGGTGATAGGATGGGGTGTTCTGCTGGTGGGTTGCCTGAGAGGGTGTGGGCACAGCACTCACACCAATGTCAATGAGCCTTGCCTGGGGAGGCTGCTGCCCCACGGGTGCTCACCTCACAGACCATGAGCAGCCAGATCCTCTCTTTGCTTTTTGGACCTCAAGGCCATTAATCTTAAGAGGGAAGGTTAAAGGGAGAGCTAGAGAGGAATGCCTTGGACCTCTGTGGAGTTTTGGAGGGCTGTGTCTCTGGTCCCATCCCCTCTGTGCTCATACCCCTTGGGGACAGATGGCCCGTGGTGTGCCTGTTCTCCCATGCACACACATGACAGAAATGGAGAAGTCACCATGCCCTGTGGTGCCAAAACTGCCAGGGTGTGTGCTGAGCTCAGTGCAGGCTGTTGATGAGCTTTTTCCCATCCTGAGGTTCTTGGTTAGCCATGCTGAGTAAGTGGCAGTGGCTCAGGTTTCCTGCCCTCCCTGTCACTGCAGTCCTGCAAGGTCGGTCACTGCAGTCCTGCAGGGTGGGATGCTGGAGGTTTGCCTGCCTGCCTGATCCTGTGCACACCAGGGCATGAACCTGATCTCCCTGGTACAGCAATCCTTTATTTTCCCTTCCACAGCCTGGCCATGATCTACTTGTAATGGAAGAAGGATGTAGAGGCAGTCAGGTAGCATAGATGCTTGTTTTCTAGGTCTAAGTCCTCAGCCTGGCTTTTCTGTGTGGCCACAGGCTGCTCCATCAACAGCCCCATGGCCTGGCTGCCCTCTGGCCAGCTGAAGTCAGTAATCCCACCTGTGCCAGAGTGGGATGCTAAGGCTGGATGAGCGTAGGCATACTGGGAACCCCAGCTTAGTCATCTCAATGCTCCCAAGACTGTTTTGATGTTTTGCTACTCCAGCTGTCCGTGAATCCCCTAGCAAATGAGTTTGCTGGCAGGATGCTTCAAGGGAAAGACAAATTATGAAAAATTGCATTCGCATAAAAGACATGCCTTATTTTTAATTGGAAATCTGATTCTCTGGATTAGTGCCCACCCAACCAGAGAGAAGAAACATATGCTGATGTATCAACAAAACAAAGAGGGCACTGAATATTCAAGGCAAAGCTTACACACACTGAAAATGCTTCATAGAAATTATCCAGCAAATCAGTTTCAATGGCAAATCTCATGCATTCAGTGTGCATTCACAGGCCACAAAGAGGAAAAATAATTTTCCTCTGCATGTTTTCTGACTTTTTTTTCTGACCCTGTTTTAGTATCTTCCCTCTAAGACTTACAATGGGTAGACCATATATTGAAATTTCTGCCTTTACGTTATTGCTTCATTTTTCTACCTGCAACCCTGTACACCCCCGTGTTTCTGGACTAATCCATTGCTGTCACTTCCCCAGGACAGTGGCTGCCCTGGAGGACATCTGTCTGTGGTTGGCATCTAAAAGCCCTGCCTCATGCACAACTAATGGGAAGCTGTCCTGACACCTTCAGGAGGTGACAGTCATACAGCTCTGTTGTTCACAACAGTATTTGTTCCTTTGGCCTCTAAAGATTGGGAAAAACACAATGGCAGTGGCATAGCAGAGAACAGGAACTGGTTTGGTGATACTGTGTGTTTTGTTGAACCTTTCAGATACTATTGCAGAGTGCCATCAATGGAATATTGCAAAATGCTGAATTTTCTCATTTCTGTTATGTGAAAATTTAACTTAGGCATTTCAACAATGACTTTAAGTGTGACCTGTGGTGTCCCTGTGATTTCTCATTCTGTATATCAAAAACAGCTCTCCATCCACAGGGAGTTTGAACATGTTCTACAGGTCTCAGTTTAAGCTGTTCTTGATGCACGTGAGCAGAAATCTCCCACTGTTTCTGCTGCATGCTGTTCCTAGAACATAAGCATGATTTACTTTTAGCTGGTTGCCCCCAATAGTTATTTTAATGGTAACACTGCAGCTATATAATTTGCATAAGTTTTTCTGAGAGCAGTGCCATAAAAGGTGAGACTAGCTGGAACAAATGGTCTAGAAAAGTAGCGGTTTGGGTATTTGGAGGAGAGTTTCTGTGGCTATCTAGTGATGAAAGGAGCAGCAAAAGGGCAGGAGAGTGGCTTGAGATCAGGCTCAGAGGAGCTGTGATACACTGCAAAGGCTGTTTTTACAGGTGTGAGCATGACATGATGGCTCCTTTCGACTCCTTTGGAGTTGGAGGAGCTTAAGAGAGAGGGGACAGAACTGGACTGGTTCTTCAAGTATCTTCTGAAATTTCTTTGTGCAGTCTGGCATTGTACTGGCAGTACTGTGTGGAGAGAATGAGCTGGTCAGGCTGGAAGGGTGAAGGCTTGCATTTGGGAAGTTTCTGGGCAGGAGAGCTGGAGTATAGAGGAGCACTATCTCCAGGAACCCATTGCTTTAGGCCACCAGGAGCAAAATATCTGATATGGGAGAGAAAGGAATAGCAATAAGGACTTGACAGAGAAACACACCTTGTACAGATCCCTGTGAAAATCCCCCTCAACCTGCCATCCCTGACAGGATGTTCCTCCTACAAGCGTGAAGCCGGTGCATAGAAACAAGCTGCAGGATCTTATTGCTGTGTGGTGGAGTGGTGGTGAAGGAGAAGGGACTTGGAGGTTGCTAAGGGTCTCCTTGTTTGTTTGCTGATGGTCTAATAGCTCCCGCGGTCAGAGACACACTCTCCTTGTTAACAAAAGGCAGTGAATTATTTAGCAGCTGAAAATGCCAGATGGCAGTAGCACTGCTGCTTACAGGAGGAGGGGAAAGAGAGAGAGACATGCACATGGTGAGGAACAGATTGAGAGCATTTCCACAGCAAAGAGCAGACCCTGGCTAGAGGTCCTGGTGATCCAGGTGGCAAGCAGGAGGCAGGCAAGCCAGGGCAAACAGCTTCTGCTTGCCAGAGTAGCCCCCTCATTTTACAGGTCTCTTCTGGAGGTCCCATTATCCTGATGGGGCCATGCTGGCCCTTAAAGTACAGGACTCCCAACCAGGGCTGGGAGACAGGCTGTGACTGAGGGCACTGCAGGGACACTTTGCCAGCCATCATCCATCATGGATCCATCGTATCCACAGGCGCAAGTGTCAGCCCCAAGTCTGCTGGGAGGCTCTTTGGAGAAGTATCGGCTTATCTCTAGTGACCTGGCAATTCTTTTGAGAGTCACACTAGCGTTCAGCTGTCCTAGCTTGGGCAGTGATGTCTCCAGACATCATAGTCTGGACAGATGGATGTGTATGTGGACAGGGACCTCAGAGGAGAGCTGAAGATGCAGTGTGGGCAGGTCTGTAGCATACACTGAAGCCCATGGCTCAGGTGACGTTGCACCACGTATGCACAGGAAAAGGGACTGCCATGTGTCTGCATGTCCTGGGGAGCTTGGTGCCTGCAGCTCAGCAGCTTCTGACATCCTTTCAAGGCATCTATGCAGGTAGTCAGATGCCAGCCTAATCTTGCAGTGGGGTGAGACTCAAGCTCTTCTGGACTCATAGCCTTAGTCCAATAATCCCAGCCACACTTAGGCTTCCAGTGGAGATTTTTCTTTGGGATGGAATTTATGCTTCAGAAATGAAGAAAATAGCAAGTCACCATCTTTTTTGTGTGTGTATTTAATTTGGGAACTGCAGGCACCAAGAGTAGTTCTTAAATTCTTCAACCCTCTGGAGAGCTTGGGTTGACAATCCCTTGGGAATCCTCAGTGTCCAGGTTGTCAGACTTCTTTTTTTTTGTCAACTCTTGTGTTTGAAAACCTCCCTTCTCCTCAGCTTTTTCTTTCCCTGGATGAGGAGGTCAAAGAGAGTCAGTGTCTCAGGCATGTAACATATGCCAGCTCCTGCACCAGCACTCTTGTCCTGCCTGCTCTGGTCAGCTGTGGATTGGGCTCCTCAGGAACTTTAAGACAAGACTAATCTCCTCCTCCTCCTCGTGAACTTGAGGACGGGACTCCTCCAGCAGCAAACTGCAAGGTCTAAGAGAGAGAGGCTAAGGCTACAGCCATGCATATAAAATCAGGTGCTACTGTAGTCCTGCATATATCACACTGACACAGCACAAGTAAGTGCTTCCTAACAAAAGCAAATCTGTGTAGAGTTTAGGAATATCTCCTTTCTAAGCCAAGTCATTTTCTATGTGCTGTCTCTGTGCTCCCCAAGGACCTCTCAATTAGGTTTCCTTTGGTGTTGAAGAAGATTTCATCTTATGTGGTCTTGGTGGCAGAAGCTGCTATAAACAGTGTCTCCACATCCCTGGAGGTCCCATATATCTCTGTTTTCATTCTCCTCCATTGCTTAATAAAACCATGAGTCCTGCTTCTATTTTTCCACCCTGTTCATGTGAGTTTTGAATATCCTCCAGCAGGGATTACGTGGTGCGGGGTGACTGCAGGGGCTGTAGCAGGATCTCAGTTATGGCTGGAATATAGATGAAAAGGAAGGAGAGGAATGAATGCTCAGTGGCTTGAATGCAAAGCTCCCAGGAGTACATGTTACAAACCCCTCTTGAGTTTTCACATAGCCTTTGCACTGGTCACAATACACTGACCTCAATATACTGTGCCTATCATGTCTGCAGGGCAAGGCACTTATATAGCTCCTTATAAACTTCAGGCAGGCCTGAAAACGTTCTTGTCAGGATCACAAGTTCCTGAGAATAAGAATGTAGAATAGTTGCAGTTGGAAGGGCCCCATTTGAGGTCATCTGATAAAAGCCCTTGCTCAGGGCCAGCTTCAAAATCATGTTTGGCTGCTCAAGGCCTCCAAAGACTGGATCGTCTCACCACAGACATAGCTGTTCTTCTTCTTCAGGCACAAGAAGCAGCTGGCTAAAGGTGTTGAGAGTGACTCCAAAGCACAGAGGCAGGACATATGAAGACGAGAGACTCTGGCCCCCTTGTCCCCACCCTGTATTTGTTAGTGTTTGCTGTGCTGGTTCCCTCTCCTCATCTTTTTATGGTAAGGGCAGCAGCCGTTTGGTACTGTCCTGTGGCATCCCCATGAGAAACAGCCATGCTGGCTGCTCTAGGGTGCTCGTTCCCCAGGGTTCCAGGCACTGCAGATTTGGTGAGGATCCTCTCCTACCTAAAGCATGGTGGTTGGAAAGGTTTTGGAAACAAGCCACAGTCTTGGCTATTAATGGCCTTTAAGTGTCTCCTGCCAGTGAGGAGTCTATGGTATCAGCTCCTGGGGAAGGTGGTGGGAAGCCCGGCATTTAGGGGTTTTGAGATGCTAACTCTTCTGAAGAGATCAAGATATCTTGGAAGGAGCAATTCTGCTTAGGTAGAAGGATGAAAGGGATGTCCTCTAACTCCTGAGTCACACAGATCATGATGCTGGAGGAGGACAGCAGGCTTAGGGATATTCCATGGGCAGTAGATACCTGGCTGTGGGGACAGAAGCAAGTGCAGCCCAAGAGCCCAGTTGTCAATATTATCACTGCTGTTTTTTTCAGAAATTCAAACAAATGCTTCAGCTTCTTATTCCTGCCTGCTGACAGCACCAGGGTGGCCATGACTCAACCCAGCTTCCAGGACTGAGGGGCAGAGGTGGTGAGAGATCTGTCTCAGGTATGACAGAGACAACCAAATAGCATTGGGTTTAATGGGGTGGGGAGCAGGAGGTAGCTGGGAGCAGGACGTAGCTGTCAGATTTCTTCAGCAGCACCCTCTGCCTTGTGTCCAGAAACCTCTCCCTGAGAGAAACTGGAACTGAGGTCACCAGCCAGTCTTATCCCCTCCCTACCCTTATTGAGCTCCTCAGGCCTTGATGGAAGAGACCTGGAAGAGCCATGGCCCCTTTCCAAGCAAAGGCTTCTCCATTCACACTCCTGCCTCTGTGTTTCAGGGTGAGACCCCACAACGGTGCCAATGGAAAGCACGTACTCGATGGAGCCTGCACCTGATGGTGCTGGCCTCACCTCGCTGGATGTGCTCATCTTCCTGGACGCCCCGGTGAACAGCACGGAGGAGCAGTGCTTCAGCGCCCGCTCCCGCAGCACTGTCCTGGAGGGGCTGCCCTTTGGTGGCGTGCCCACTGTGCTCGCCATCAACTTCATCCTGTGGCTGGTGAGCGGGCCAGGAGGGTGCCTTTCTACAGGCTCTGCAGCCCCTGCATGCACTGGCAGCCACACACAAGTGCAGCCTGTGCAGCAGTGCACCTGGCTGATGGGGGAACAGGGATGAGTGCAGGGGTTCAAGGGCTTTGCCCATGTCATGGTGGGCATCAAAGGACACGGGCAGCAGTGGTGAGATGATGGAGCAGGAACAGTTTGGGGTAAGAGTTTTGCATGAGCTTGGGCTCGTGAGTGAGAAGGCAGAAAGGAGGGATATGAGAAGATCCCATGGGGTGAGACCTGCAGCAAACACTTCTCTTTCTTATTCTTCCAGCTTCTCCTTCTGGTCTTCTCATGTCTTCGGAAAGCAGCCTGGGACTACGGGCGCCTGGCACTGCTGATGGACAATGATAGGTGAGGAGGATGCAAAGGTGCTGCAGGTGGTGGCTCCATTCTAAAGAGGGCTGGAAGGAAAGCCAGCACTGCGGCATGACACAGAGTTCAGCAGGTGTTCCTGTCCCTTCTTCCCACTGGGAATGGCCTGGTGCCCCCCTTTCCCATGGAGACATAGTCACCATCTGCTGCTAGGAGAGGGAAAGCCCACGCCAGCTTTCATTCCCTCTACCATTTGGTGACAGTGTTCTTGGTGTCATTGTGGGCACTCTTGGGAAGGACAAAGAACTGTTTTTCAGTGGGGACTGTGCCACTGCCTCTTCTCCTGCCATTCTCTTGGGGTGAACAGGACTGGCTGGTGGAGGAGGCAGAGGGAGACGCACAGCAATAACACTGTTCCTCATGTCACCACAACAACTTGTTGGCCCATCATTTGGGCCAGAATTCCACAAAAATAAGCAGTGTTCTGGTAAAAGTAGAGCCCAGACCATATTTCCAGGTGGGCTCTGCTGCCCACAACAGATTGCCTGCCAAAGCACAGCTCACCCTGGGCAACAAAGCATCTTTCTTTGCATAGGCTGGTGCACACAGAAGGGGTCTGTGCAAGGCTGGGCAGCCCACAAGAGTAAGCTTTGTTTAAGTCCCTCTTCTGCCTTCTCCCCTCCAGTTCCTCTTGACTTCTGAATCTGGAGCTGAGTCTGGTGATGAATATGTGATGTTTTCCCTTCTCCAGTGAGATCAAAGGGCAATCAAGATTAAAAATGCAAGCTCTGATTACATTCCTTTTTACTGCAAAACCATTTGAGACATCTGAAAACAGTGGAATAGAAAATATCTAGTTCAACAGTCCCTTGTAATGGAGCTAAGGCTACATCTCCATGAGCCCATCATGAGTCAGGGCCACATAGAAGCTGGGGACACTTGTTGGTGCAGAGGCAGAAAGATCCCCCCCTTTGTCCCCCCCAAGCCCAGCAGTAATCACTGTTCCAGCCCCCGTGTAAGATGCAGGAAGGGGGGGAGGCATTTCTTGGGCTGCTGTCTTAGGAGAGACTTCTCCAAGGGTGCTTATCCTCTCATGTCTGCTGCTTCTCTTCTGTCTCCCTCCTCCGCTCCCCCCATCACTGCAAAGCCTGACATCGCTTTTCTATGGAGAGCAGAGCGAGAAGGAAAAGTCCCCGTCAGAGAGCAGCCCTCTGGATGCTGACAACAAGGATGTGGTGAGTGCCAGTGACTGTGGCAGTGGGAACCTGGGCAGGGCTTGTCCTGGCCCAGCCTGTCCTGTTCTTCATCAGAAACCCAGGTCAGAAGTGTGAGAAATTAAATCTCCTGCTCAATACCCTTCAGCAGTGGGGAATTCCTGGAAGCTGGAGGGTTTTTTGTCCTGGATTCTTTGAGGCATCTATTTTGAATGGCAGTTTGGAGGGGATGCTCCTGTTGGCAAGCGTCTCACAGCTGCATAGCTGTTCTTGCAGCTGTGGGGACCTGGTATGGTGCATGGCCACAGCCTGGCTGCTTGTCTGCAAGGATCTTTCCCACCCTTCAGGATAAAGTCCCCCACACCACATTTCCTCTTCCGCCAGCATGGTGGAGCTTTAAAGTAACTTTTTTGGTTTCTCTACCACAGCGAGCTTTGCTGGAAACAAACACAGACGGACACATTCTGCTGCCTCTTTCTATTTCTTTTTGGCAGCAAAAGCTCAAAACTCAGTCACTGGTACGACTATGAAAAAATGTCATGACTTATTAAAAAATCTAAGTAGGAAAGAGCAAAAGAAGCAAAATCCTTGCAGGTGGCAGGAGGCCTGTTTAAAGGCTCTATACCAGATGCTCTAGGCATTGTATGAAATGTATATTGCTCAACAAAAATAAGTGAGAAAGACTACAGGGAAAGCCAGCACACTAAAGAGCAGATTTAAGGGGATCATTGGAAGAAGACATCCTTTAAAAAGTCAAACTGTTCACAAATAAGGAAAACCTCAACTCTGCCAGATTAGGTGTAAAATACACTAAGAGGGGAGAAGAGCAGTTTTGAGGAGGAATTTGTAAAGAGCATAAAAAGCCCAGAATCAGAAAATCACAGAAAGAGTAGAGTTGAAAGGAACCAATATGGGCCATCTGGTCCAACCTCCTTGTTCAAGCAGAGTCATCCTACAGTACATGGCACAAGATTGTATCTTTAATATCTCCAGTGAATGAGACTCCACAATCTCTCTGGGCAATCTGTTCCAGTGCATGGTGCTTTCTCCTAGTCCTCAGGTACCTTTCCTGATCTCCAGGACCTTTCAAAGATGATCATGAGCTTTCCTGCTGTGGTGTGCACCAGCTCTCCCAGCAGTTGTGGATGCATCTTGTCAGGGCCCACAGACTTGTGGGTGTCAAGTCTGCCTGGGTGTTTTCTAACCCAATCCTCCTTCACCAGGGGAAAGTCTGGAAACCCCTGTGTGTACACAGTGACAGGGAATAAGCTAGTTAGTGCACAAGAACTTAGGTTGTCTTGTAGGACTCTACAGCAGTAGACCTCAGCACTTGATAGTGGTAAAGGAAGTGCACTGAATGTTAGGAACTGTCATGGAAGGGGAAGAGGAGGGAGCTCTGGAAACAGGAGCCTGAAACAGTTGGTTAGTGTTTGACCTCAGCTTCCTCTGCAAATCCTTCTGTGGCCAAGAATATGCACCTGACATCCATCAGGATGGTTGATGCTTGTAGAGAGACTTCTCTATCCCTTTATACCCCTGCCCCAGCAGACTCCTTGTTCCCACTCACAGAAATTTTCTTACCACTACTTTCAGGGAGGTCACATGGTCCCTCAGGGCTTTCACCACCTGGAAGAGAGGTTGTGCTCAGCTTCCCATCAGCTCTTTGGAGTGTGTTTTCCTTGCTTCTCCTGAGGCAGCTGCCTTTGCCACTGGGCTGAGCATTGCTAGGCTGCCTTGGGCACTGCTTCCATTTGCTCAACCCCCTAGCCATAGGCACTGCACCACCTCTGCATGTTTCCTCAGCATATGTTGTGACCCATTCCCTCACCAGGGAGGTGGGGGTGGTTGCCCTTGTCTCATCCTGACTCTTTTTCCTTCTAGGGATTCTGTTCCTGGCTTCTTTCTATCTACCAGATGAAGTAAGTGTGTGTTCTTGGCATTATGGTCATGCCCCACTGCTGCCCACCCATTAGGAGCTGGTGCCCACAGGTGGTGGCCCATCACCAGGAGCTGCTGGGACCAGCAGCAGAGGAGAGCCTTCTTAAAACATCCACTCTGAAGAGAGCGGAGAGCTCACCTCTGCATTTCCTCCTGGCCCCTAGATCCTATCCCAAAGAAAAGGGCTTCAACCTCTCCTGATAGGAACCAATCCTGTAATGAGATGGCAGCTGGAGTGCTGCTCGGGTCCCTCATTCCCTCTGTGCTGAAATCATTTGTGCCACAGTCAGGATGTGATGAATTGGTGTGGGTTGTGGGAGACTGGAGCAAGCCAGTGTCCCCATGGTGGGAGGTGGTGGGGACGAACCACCAGCACTGACCCACACCTGCCTCTCTCCAGGGATGAGGAGATTCAGAGCAAGTGTGGGATCGATGCCACCACCTACCTCTCCTTCCAGCGGCACCTCCTGGTCCTGCTGATGCTGGTTTGTGTGCTCTCCGTGGCTGTCATCCTGCCTGTCAACTTCTCAGGGGACCTCCTGGGTAGGTGCTTTGCTAGTCACAGGTTGACTCAGGAGTGCCATGCGAACTTCCAAGCCTTTGAGCAAGCACTGTGCCTCTGGGAAAGAAGGCAAAAAAACCTCTCTCTCAGAAGGCCCCTTGAGAGCAGGAGCCCACCATCAGCTGGGTGACAGAGGAACATAAGAGGCTGGGAAATCAGGGCGGTGGGGACTTGGTGAGGACCTGGGAGATGGAAAAGAAGGGAGCAAAGACCAGAGCAAATAACTGCAATATGGACACGCACACTGCACTGGGTTCCCTTAACCTTCTGCTTTTCCTCTTCCTCTGCAGGACACAATCCCACCCACTTTGGCCGGACAACCATCGCAAACATCCCAACTCAGTAGGTGCTCCCACAGGCAGGGGGGCTGTGTGTGCTGCTGCTGTGGTGGGCACTGCTGGGAGCACCTAGGAACAGAGCTCAGCACAGTCCCGTGCTGGGGACAGGGACAGATCCACGTGAGCAGCACACTGCTCACAGTAACTCTCCCGTTTCTCTGTACTACGTGGGCACAGTCAGGGCAGCCAACCCAGTGGCATTGCTCTCTGCACCCCACTGCTGGCAGAAGTGCTCTTGGGGATGTTGTGTGACCTCATTTCTGTGGTATCTCAGTCAATAGCCTGGGTGCTGCCCCTCTAGTTCCTGGGGTGAGTGTTTGACAGCTGGCACAGGAAGGTCCTGCTGGGTGGAAGGGGTGGCCACAGGTGAGATGCTGAGTAGCAGGCTCATCCCCATGCCACACGCTCATCACAGTGCTCATTGATCCCCACTTCCTCTCTTCCAGAGACCGTCTCCTGTGGCTGCACAGCATCTTTGCCCTCCTCTATTTTATCTTCACCATCCTTTGCATGGCTCACCACTCTGTCCACCTGGAATACAGAGAGAATGAGAAGGTGAGAAACCAGCCCTCCTCCAACCCTGCATTGTTCAATGGACAACTTCTTGCTTTGCACAAGTGCTGATCCTGATGGGTACAGAGGTCTTTAGGAACAGCCGGGAACTGGGCTGGCAGGGGAAGGTATGCCTGATTTTGACCAGCTTCTGGATAAAGTGACAGCCTGGAGGCAAATATCTCTCTCTTGCTGTCTTCTCTCTTGAGACTGAAGCTCTGCTGTATCCATCTGTCTGGGGTATGGCATTGTCTGGCTGTGCCCTCAGGGTTTGGGACTGGGCATTGAGGAGGTCTGTGCTTACTTGCCTCCAGGGTGGGAGCTGGTGCCCCAGCTCACTGCTGGGTGGACAGGGTGGCAGCATTACATCCTGCAGATCCCTGCCCATCCTGCAGATCCCTTTGCCTCTTCTCTTCCCCCAGATTGCCCGGACACTGATGGTTACCCACATCCCCAAGGAGATCACAGACCCTTCACTTATCATCAAGCATTTCCAGTGAGTAGCCATGTGCCACAGCCTTGCTGGGCGAGTGGCAGACAGGTGGCAGGGACTGTCCCTGTCCCCTGGCTCCTGGTGCCACCATGCCCCTGTGCTTGCAGTGAGGCTTATCCCAGCTGCACCGTCACCAACGTCCAGTTCTGCTTCGACGTGCGCAAGCTGATGAAGCTGGATGCGGAGAGGTGAGTGCATGCACATCCACGTTGCCTCTGTGGGAGGGTGTACTGCTCCTGCCCACCACATCAAGGCACCCAGTCCGGGTTTATGTCTGTACTTCTGGTTGCTCCCCAAATGACTTTTGCTATTGGCTTCCTGGCAGGCGCAAAGCAATGAAGGGGCGGCTTTACTTCACCACCAAGGCGCAGAAAGAGGGGAAGATCATGATCAAAACTCACCCCTGCGCCCGCATCTTCTGCTGCCGCTTCTGTGGCTTTGATGAGGTAGGAGGGGCCCGGGCAGGGCTGCAGGCAGCACAGCTGCGCTGTGGGCAAGGCAGAGCACAGCAGCTTGCCCCTGCCCCAGCCTGGTGCGCAGCACAGCCCTGGCTGCTCCCACAGGTGGATGCTGAGCAGTACTACGGGGAGCTGGAGGAGAAGCTCACAGATGAGTTCAATGCGGAGCGCAACCGCATCACACTCAAGCGGCTTGATATGGCCTTCGTCACCTTCCAGGATGAGCGGATGACAGCTGTGTGAGTGCCCCTCATGCAATGGCCATGGGGATGTCCCGCCTGTTCGTCACCACTGCCATGGGGGGAACTGGGGCACCTTGCCAGCTTTTCCAACCAAAGCCTGGCAATGGGTCGGTCTCTTCTATGCCTCTGCCATCTGCAGAGTTGGCTGTCCTGTTAGTGCTGTGGGAAGGGTCTCACAAGAAGTGAGACCTGACCCCTGTCTCCCTTCTTCCTGCAGGATTTTGAAGGACTACAGCCACATCCACTGCCGCAAGCACCCCCAGCAGTCCTCTGTCACCACTGTGGTCAAGTCACACCACTGGGGTGTTCGCTATGCCCCTGCACCCAGCGATATCATCTGGTGAACCCCCACGGCAGAAGGGAGGGAGGAAGGGGGAACAAGCAGACAAGGGGAAGCCCATGTCCATACCCATAAGAGCCCACGTACATAGCTATAAGGAGCCTATGCCCATAGCTATAGGGAGCCTATATAGCTGTAGGGAACCTGTGTCTGTATCTGTAGGACACTTTCCTAGGGTGATGGGGGCTGAAAATCCCTCGTATTGCCATAGCAGAAGTCAGCAGGGGTGATTGTGGTGATCACCACAAGGGTGACAGGACCCAGCCAGCTGAGACTGGGGGTGATTGCCAGACTGATTTCTCCAGCCTGATTCCAAAGCCTCCCAGTCATATGGACCTCCACTGTGGCTATTCTCTGGCCCAGGGGGCTCTGCATGTGACAGCAAAGCAGTTTGGGACAGGAAAAGGGTGAGCTCAGAACAAAGTCTGCCAAGATGGTTGGTGCAGATAGGAGGAGGCAGAGCTTCACGAAGCTATGATGGGAGGCCCAGGACACAGGGATTTTCCTCCTTATCATGTCCAATGTCCAAATGTCCTTATCATGTTGTGTTTTCCTCTTACAGGGAAAATTTGTCAGTCCGTGGCACATCATGGTGGGTGCGATTCATTCTGCTTAATATCTGCCTGTTCGTCCTTCTCTTCTTCCTCACTACGCCAGCCATCATTGTCAACACTATGGACATGTTCAATGTCACACACCCTGTGGAGAGTCTCAAGGTAGTCCCTAACCCATGCCACTTTCCAGGCTTATCTGTGATGGGGGGTGGGGGCACCAGCTCTACACTGTCCTAAGAAGATGAGCCATCACTAGGATGAGCTTTGATGAGAAACAAGGTCATTGATGAGGTCATGTCTCTGCTTGCTATCCATCCCCTTCTCCTTGTGTTTCCAGTGGCAGAGCCCTGGGGCAGCACCTGAGCTTTGGGGCTGGTGTCCATGGAGGCAGGCAGGTTGCTGTCCATTCAAAAAGAAAGGTCTGGAAAGAACTCAGGAGTTGTTACAAGCTGCCAGCAGCACAGCTACTTCTTACTCATTGACCTATGAGCTTTTGGATGAACACTGGGGCTCAGAACACGGCTGTGGTGCCTTTGGCTGGCTTCAAGTTCTTATCTCCTAGAACAAATGCTCCTGCTCAGGGAGGGGATGCTCCAGCCCACCTGCTGCATGCACCATCATGTTCTGTCTCCAGCATGCCTGTGCTCTGGTGGGTTGCTGAGGGGGTGTTCGGCATCTCTCTTCTTGCAGAACCCCATCATCACCCAGTTTTTCCCCACGCTGCTGCTCTGGGCCTTCTCAGTCTTCTTGCCCTTCCTTGTCTACTACTCAGCATTCTTCGAGTCTCACTGGACAAGGTAATGGGGCTGGCCCCCACAGACCCCAGGGCTGCCATAGATGGGAGGAACTGCAGTGGAAGGGGAACCCACCCTGCAGGGAGGCAGGCAGTGAGCAGTAGATCCCCCCATTAGAGCAGAGCCCCTTGGGTGTTTTTCTCCATAGAAAGAGCCCCAAGGCCATGCTCAAAGCAGCCATTTGCTTCCCATAGTCCTGAACACTTCCAGGCTACTGACAAAGTCAGGTGGTTTTAAGATGGATCTGAAGAAGTTTGTAAGAGGGATGGCGTGATGGTGGACTGGAAGCAGCAGGGGCATCCCAGGCATGCTTCCAATCCTCCAAGGCAGAGGTATGGGTTCAGGATGCTTAAAGTAGAGGAAACTGCCCAGCTCCTACGATATGCTCTCTGTCTTGACCTTCCATCAGCCCCAAGCTCTGTGCCTGGTCTGATAAATCTTTACAGGAGCTTTGTCACCACCTCCCTTCCTTTTTCTGGGGGAAACTGGAGGTCATGGACTCATACTAGACACCCATCTGCCTCTTGTTGGGTGTCTATACCAAAAGGGATGGTAGGAGAGGGCAAAGATGAAGGAGGTGAGAGCTTTCACTACAGCAGATTCCTCATGGAATTCCACCTTAGCCTTGAAGAGGCTTTGCAAGGCTCCAGTGGATGCACAGATCAAATGCACACAGTTTTGTGGGGCATGGAGTAACTCCTTGGTGAAGAGCGAGACCAAGCCCAGCCCTTCACCCCACCTGCTGCTCTTTCCCAAAAAAGTGCAATGTTCTTTTCTTGTCTTCCCTCTCTGCAGGTCAAGTGAAAATCAGATCACCATGCACAAGTGTTTCTTCTTCCTGGTGTTCATGGTTATCATCCTGCCCTCTCTGGGTCTGAGCAGGTATGGACCACCCTGCCATGCTGCTATCCCTGCTCACGAGCTGGCAGGATCACACCCAGGTCTCTCACCCTGGCAATCTAGCCCCATAGGGCTAAGATCCCATTGCCTCTGAAACACAGCAATCTTTGGGGAGGAAAACATTCTTTAGCAGTGCTGAGCCACTCACACATGGTCACAGATAGAAACCTTCCCTGCAGAGGAGTGGAGCAGAGCAGTTTACCAGGCTGCCACAGCTGACCCAAGGGGGCTGGTGGCAGTGATCAGCTGCTGCTTGATTTCAGCATACCCCGAAACGACCTGGTCAGGTATCTTCATAGCTCCAGCTTCAGCAATCCTGGCCATCCAGGAGGCAAGCACACACTCCACAGTGCTCTTGTGTGGCTGTAGGAACTGTTCTGGCAGTGTAGAGTGCAGAAGGTCTTGCCACACACAGGACAGGGAAAAGCACATGCCTGCTGGGTGTCTCACATCACTCTGTAGCTCCCCCTCTGTCTGAACTGCTCCTCTTCTGTTCCCTCCAGCCTGGACCTGTTTTTCCGCTGGCTCTTTGACACCCATTTCCTGGATGAGGCTGAAATCAAGTTCCAGTGAGTAGCAGGAAGCTCCCAAACTTCCCAGGCAAGCGGGAGCACCTGTTGTCCACAGCCAGCAGCTCTTGCAGCTCCTGCCTGAGCATCCTCTCACTCTCACTGTCTCACCTCTCTGTCCCTGGGGCAGGTGTGTTTTCCTCCCAGACAATGGCGCCTTCTTTGTCAACTATGTGGTCACCTCCAGCCTGATTGGGACGGCCATGGAGCTGCTGCGCATCCCAGGCCTCCTGGTCTATACTGCTCGCCTCTGCTTTGCCAAGTCTGAACCTGAGCGGCTCCATGTCAAGCGGGTACGTGGCTCTGGCCATCTGTGAGCCTTTGTGATCCCTAGCACAGCAGAGGTGCACTCATGGAAACTCAGGCTGATGTGGTTCTGTGGGGATGCTTGGGGGGACTTCTTTAGGCCTCGTGGGGGCTAGTGGGGGTGAGGCAGTCCTGTGGGTGCAAAGGCAAGTGCAAAAGCAAGTGCAGGCTTTAAAGAGACAGAGGCAGCAATGACACTGTTGGTTGTGCCCCAGAGCCAAGCATACCAGTTCCAGTTTGGACTAGAGTACGCCTGGACCTGCTGTATCTTCTCTGTTGTCATGACCTACAGCATCACCTGCCCCATCATCGTCCCCTTTGGTGAGTATGATCCCATGCCCATGGTCCCAGCCATGCCAAGAACAAGGCTGTCCCAGCCACCAGCAGCAGCATGGGAGTGCAGGCTTCCTGCATGGCATAGGAGGGCACCTTGGACATCATCCTCAGGGCCTGCCCTGCTGTCTCTATGTCCTGGCTGTCCCCATTGCCCTCCACCCAAATGGCTTCTCTTGTCCCATCAGGATTGCTGTACATGCTGCTCAAGCACATGGTTGACCGGTACAACATTTACTATGTGTACATCCCCACCAAACTGAACCAGCGCCTCCACGTCGCCGCCATCAGCCAGGTCGTGGTGGCCCCCATCCTCTGCATGTTCTGGCTGCTCTTCTTCTCCGTCCTGCGCCTCGGTAGGGAGAGCTTGGGGCTATGCTCTGCCACTGCCAAGGGGTCCTGTCTGATGTCTGGGGGTGATGAGCCACTGGTGTCACCCTTGAATTAGGCATGGAGTGGAGGGTGGTAAGGGGCAAGGTGTTGTGAAAACCTGGCAGATGAAGGAGTTGTCAGCTTGTGTTTTGGGAAGAGGGTTGAGAATTTCTAAAACCCAAAGTAGGCACCAGCCTGGGGCTCAGCTGGATATGTAGCAGGTTCTTGGAGGCTTATGTGCTGCCCCAGTGTCTCTGTGCTCTAGGTCCCACTCGGCCTGTCACTCTCTTCACCTTTGTGGTCCTCCTTTCCTGCATCATCTTCTCCTTCTTTGGCCTCTGCCTGAAGAAGCTGCAGCCACGGAAACCGTCTAGCTACCAGGTGGGTGCAGACAGCCACCTCCTGTTCCTTCATCCCAGTGCATCCCCTCCTTGCTTTCCATGGGGAGTCTGAGATGGCACCTGGCTGTCCCTAGCCAAAGCTGGTACCCCAAACCGTGATTTCCTCATGTCTTACTTCTCCTTAGATGTCTGACCAGTCAGAGGGCGCATTCAATGACGTGGAGCGGAGCAGCGTTTCCTCCACCCCAAACTCCAATGTGAGTACCCCTCTGCAGCCCTGCTGTGGCCTCCTGCTCTGCTGGGTCCTGATGGCCCACTGCCCCCCGGGGCAGCTCTTTGTGGCCACTGTCCTGCAGGAGCCTGAGCTGAGTCTGACGCCGGCAGCCTCTCCGGCACACCAGTCCTATGGCACCATGGGCAACCACCTGGAGCCAGCGGAGGATGGGGAGGATGGGGGGCTGCAGAGCTTCGAGACAGAGCTGGAGACAGTGGAGGGCGAGTACAGGAGCGGCCCTGTGATAGAGAGCCAGGCTCGCTACCAGTGAACATCCCCGCCACAGGCTGAGAACAAACTGTGCTGAGAGCGGAGAACGTGCCATGGGGCAGGAAGGAGCCTTCCCTGCACTGCTGGGGGCTACCTTGCCAATGGGGCAGGGGATGACAGGACTGACGTGAGGGAGACCCCATTGCATGGGCAGTGGCAGGAGGCTCGGATGGTCCCTCCCGCTGCCTGCACTGGCTGAGCCCCCTAATGTGCCCCTGTCCCCGTCTGCCTCATCCAGCACACAGTGGGGAAGAGGGGGTGCAGCAGTGTGGGAGGAGGGTCTCTCTGAGAGGCCATGCTTTTGGGGGCAGGAAGGAGGCCCTGACCCCTCTGAGAAGAGGGAGCAGCCCAGACAGCCTAGATGAGTGTGCCTGCCACCACGCTGTCCTCTGGGTCCTCAGTGGCAGGGGATGGCCACCCCTAACCCTTGCATCTCACCCCATCCAGCCACTGCTCAGGCAGCTGTCCTGCTGGCTCCCCTGCTGCAGGCCTGCTGCCCCTGCTTTGCCCATTTTAGCAGGGACTGCTGACATGTGTGTGTTTTGGTGGAAAAGGTGAGTGTCCCTACATCTCCCAGCAGAGCCCCTACAGCCCTGCACCAAGGCAGGCATCAAGTGCAAGCTCAACTCTTCCTCAACCCTATCCCCCCATCTTGCTGCACAATGCCTGTGCCCTTGGGCTCTTGGAGAGAAGCAGGAGGGCAAGAGACAAGTGTGTTTAATGGCTTTGAGGACAGCTCCTTGTCACTCCTCTTCCCTGGCAGCACCCCATCATTCTCATGCTCTCACTGGGGTGATTATCTGCCCATGGGACCCAGAATAGCTCTGTCCTAATGCAATGGAACAGGGGGGGCAGGTGTAGGCTGGCAGGACCTGGACTTCCAGGTCCTCCTGGTCCACCACATCCTGTCTGCTCTTGTCCACAAGCTGTAGCTGTGGGATGCTCCCCCAGTAGCCACACTGCCTCTCAAGTGTGAGTCCTGCTGTGATTAGTGTTAATGCACCATTACCTGCCCAGACAGCATCTCTAGAGTTTTCCAGCTCATCCAGAGCAGCTGTGGTGGCCCCTGGGGATGAGGGTTTATCCTCATCCTGCTCAGCTCCTCTCCCACCATAGCCCACCTGGCCATGCTGGCTCCTCACTCAGCCCTGCTTTGGCCTCAGGGCTGATTTTCCTGTCCCTGATTCTCCTGCTAGCTTCAGAGCAACTAGAGTTGCACCGTCCCAGGGCAGTGCAGGGAGGGAAGGGAGGAACGTGAAGCTCTGCCAGCACCAGGGCTGCTGGCATGGGAAGTGCTGTTGTGTAAAGGCAGGTGCTCAGCCATGGCACTGGTTAGCATTAGAAGTGCCACTGGAGGGGGGACAGTGTGCCAGTTCTGGGCTGGACGGGAGGTTAAAAGGCAGCCCAGCAGTGAGAGCATCAAGGGGGCCCTTAGGACATTCCTGTGGGGCTAGTGGGTCTCAGCTCAGCCGGCTGGCAGTCCCATGGCCCCCATCCCACCCACGCTCCTGCATGCTGGGGCGGTGGCTGCAGCACACTAGTCACAAAGTGGTTGCCTCGGGGGAGCCTTGAGCTCAGATGCACCCTTCCAATCCCAAAAAGTTCCCTGGGGGGTTTGTGGCCTCCTACCCAGGTACCCCCATGGCTGCCCACAGCTCAGCTGCTCCCCTCACTGCCTGCTCCAGAGGCAGCCCCAGGCAGGGCACGGGGATGCTGGTGGCCTCTCTGAGGGTAGAAGCAAGTGCCTGCTAGTGGCACTGTGTCCTCAGGAGCTCGGGCTGCTGGTCTGATTGCCCTTGGCTGCCCCACTGTAGGAATGTGCCAGAGGTCTGTACCTTCTTGTGATTTATTGCTATGACCGTGCCTTGAATAAAATGACTTCACCCAGCTGCTGCCTGGCGTCATCACACCCATGCGTCTTACGTGGCACCGCTTTAGGGGCAACCCTTGCCACTGGAGCAGTTTCCCACCTGTGGGCTGCTTTTGACCCTGTCTGGGTATGTCCTGCAGAAGCTTCCGTGGTAAGGAGACTGCTTGGACATACCCCCACCTCTAGACTGCCCACTATGATCCCCATAAAAACAAACCCCAACAAATGGGCAGAAGCAGCAAAGTTTCAGGAGTGGAAGAGCACCTCACTGTGTCTCAGGCACAGCCCTTGGCACCATCCTTCCATTGGGGATGAGTTGCAGTCCTGGGACAGTTGTGCACCTTTTTTGCCCACCTTCTGTCAGCAGTCAGCTGCCAGAGAGCTGGCTCAGAGCACCACCAAACGTGCAGATGTTGCTTGAAGGTAGCAGGATGGTAGCCTGGAGCTCTGGGACCACAGCAAGGGTTGGGGCAGGAGGAACCCATCCCATCTGAAGATGGAGCAGATGTTTCCAAAGCTGAACTACTCACCAGCAAGTCCCAGGGAAGGGGGTGAACACCACTTTGGAAGTCCTAGATTTTGAGAGAACAGTGCTCATTTCTGGCCTCCGCCCTCCCAAAATACACACTATTTTTACCTGAATTCCTACTTGAACGATTTGCCTCTGGTTTCAGCAGGTTCCTCCTGCTGGCTCCTCCACAGCTTCCCAGGGGTGAGCCCTGCCACTCTGGTTTATGGCACAGGGCAAAAGGCATGGGGAGGGCTTCCCTTTGGATGGAAATCTGGAAAATTTAAAACCCAGCACTATGCTCCTACAGAGGCCCCCCGTAGTTTGTAATGAGTGGTAAAGAGAGTTAACACAGGGCATTGCTGTGCCAGGGAGATGGGCAGGAGCTCTGGCTGCGAGCAAGGGTTGGAATTGCCCCCGGTGGCAGCTTTCCTAGCCCTCACAGTGGGCAGCTCATCATGGCCTGGTGAGGGGGTGTCAGCCCCATCCCACTGCACCTCTGCCTGGAAAGCCGCTCAGGAGCTTGCTCCCTGGTTGCAGCCTGCACAGGCAGCATCCCTCACAGCCAGGGCCCAGCAATCCCATGGAGTCTCCCATTGTGCCAGCTGGTGGCAGGCAGTGACAGGAGCGTCCCCTCTGGGCAGCAGCCACAGCAAAGGGATAGTGTGTGGGAGCTGTGGCAAACCTTCCTGCTGGCACAGGCAGTCAAAGATGGGAGTGCCGCTGGAGGCTGCCATGCTGGCCCTTCCCTGCTGTGCCAGGTTTGGGCTCCCACCACCAGTCCTGAGGTCAGGACGAGCTGGAAAACTTATTTTATCAATTACCCAAAGGGAGTATTTCTTTGCATCCAGATCTCTGTTGCTCTCCTTGCCCTTCACAGCCCACCATACATTGCCTTATGGAACAAACCCATCCTAAACCAGCAACATGACTCTCCCAGGATGTTTTCCCTTCTCACCTGTTATGCGGCTGGGATTTCCAGCCTTTGGGAGATGCTATTACAAACCTTTAGCTGGCTTCCCCACTCCAGGCACCATTCTTCAGCATCAAGTGCCCAACTCTCACAGGGCTGGAACCCATCATATCAAAGCTAGAACACGCTAGAAGACAGAACTTCCTGCATCCTCACCAGCTGCTCCCTGGGCAGGGCTGCTGGAATGGCTCCATAATCCAGCTGGCAGGGTGGATGATGCACCGTGGAGCCAGACAAGACTTCATTATGAGGCCATGCTCTGCTGCTGCAGATGACCAGCAGCAGGTGACCAGGTGAGCCAATGCTGTCTCAAAAAACAAAAACAGCAGCTGAACAACAGAAAAAGGATTTTTAGGCTGATTGCTCAAAATTCTGATTCCATTAGAGATTACTATACTTGAAGGGTCTGAGCAATCAATAGCTGGGTGTCTCTGTTAGCCCCTCCACTGCTCACCCGTTCAATGACCAGGCACAAAAGCTCCCAACACATTTTGCTGGTGGATGCCCTCTCGTATCAGTCAAGCTGCACTACACAAGTGCTCCAAGTGACCAATATCTTCAAGTTAGAATCAACAAGAAACCAGTAAACCCCTCTCTGTCATCCTTTTTTTCTGGTCTCCTTGGGCCTTTATATTAAAATAAACACAGGGCATCAAAAATGTCTAAGACTCACTGTTGTTTTTTAATAAACAGTACAGCTGGGTATAAGAGGCACACAGACTAGTTCAGTTCTCTTGGGAGTTACACAAAATGTGGCACAGAAGAGCAGAAGTCAAGGAGCTGGGAAAGCTAGAGGGAGCAGGGATTGTTTGGGCAGTAACACCCACACCCCACCCATCACACAGCTGCCTGCTTGTCACATGGAGCCAGAAGGTGTCCCACTCCCACGATGCTGAAGGCATGATGCCCCATAACAGGGTTGCAAAGAGGACATCCCTATTCCTGAACCCTCCCGCCCCATACAGTGCCATCAAAGCTAGTGACTCATGCCAGCCCCAGCTGCTCCATCCCTCACTGCTGGGTACAAGAATGGGGAGACTTCACCTGACCCAGCTGATGGAGAGAGCCAGGACACACCACCACACTGCAGAGGCACAACATGGTCCCATGGCGAGGACAAGGAACGTGGGGATGTTCACAGCCTGTTTGACAACACCTATTAGCTTGCCTCCCAAACACAACTGGAGGGCTTTTTGCTTGCTGGAAGCTCATGGCTCCCATCAGGCCTGGTGGCAGGGCACTAGAGACGCATCTCACAGGGCACCCCATCATCCCTTCCATGGCATGGGCCTAGGAGACCTCAGCCCTCTCCTGCCCCAGAGTGGAGGGCATCTCAGAAGAGGAGGAATGTGTCTTCAGAACAGGACCATCTCAGACCTCAACACTAGGCTCCTCCTGTCCTGAAGATGCAAAAAAAACGGTGCTGCCTGTAACTGAATAATTTCTCCATGTCCTTGCTCTGGTGCTAGTGGTGGCTAGAAACATGGTTCTGTTTGTTCCACAGTGACTTCCCCATGAAGATGAACTCTCCTCAAAATGCTCAAGTTCAGCCCCTTCACAGAGCCCTCAGGTGCTGCCTCTCAGCAGTTTTCTGGGATTTCTCCTAGCAGATGCTATCTCCTCATTCCTGTGAGGGTGAGGAACTCTGCAGATGGGCACCGCAAGCAGCTGGGAAGTGCTCCAGATTCTGACAGCAGCAGAAAGATTCCAGCTATGCATCCTCTGGCCAAGAGCCAGAATTTCTGGAAGCTGTTGCTATGACACAATTGCAACCTTCATTTTTATTTTAAGACATCTTTTCCTTGGATTTGCTTTATTTTCCTTAACACAAAGCAGTAAACAGACATTGCTACTGCTGCTGTTGTTACTGCTGCATTTCAGATGGCTCTAAGGCCAAATCAACACAAAGCCTTTCAGCTGGCAGCCCAACCCTGCCAAAAGTAGTCTCACCTTGGGATGAATGTGACACCACTGCCTGAAGCATCCATAGGAAGCCTACTGGGCTGTGGCCAAGCTGACACAGGGGAAAGCCAGGGTTTCCATCTTGGTCAGAGGCAAGGCAGAAGAAAGCACCAGGGTTAACTATCTGGTAGTGATATATTGAAGAAGGGAGAGGGGGGAAAACTCTCTGCAAGGTTTGAGAACAGCCACATGATGTGACCAGCTTTGCTCTCTTGCTGCCTTTTGACTTGCATGGAGCCAAATCTGTCACACAGAACCAGGTACAGCAGCACAGGAGGACCAAGCAGTGTCAGACACAGCAGGTAAAGCAAAGCAAATAGGATTTCGGGCAAATAAGCCCAAGAGGCCTGTGGCAGCTGTCACCTACAGGGTGGGTAGCAAGAGGAGGGCAGATGAGCAAGCTAAACCCAGACTAAAACCGAGAGTAGGTACATGGGTGTTGGTATTCCTGAAGGAACCTGGGGCAGGGTGGCACACCTGTGCTGTGGCACTGCCAGGCTCTGCTGCAGGGACATGCCCTGCCAGCCCTCAGCAAAGGCAGAGACACACTCGTGTTGGAGCAGGGTGGAACCACGTGAGAGCCCCGCAGCACGTGCGAGTGGCAGAGGCAGCCACGGGCTGGTGCACACAGAAAGACAGAGGTGGGGAGAGGCAGCGAGTGTGGTGTGAGACTCCCCGTGCCCAGGACAGCCGCGTGGTCAGGGATAGGGATGGCTGGCAGGATCTAGTCCCCTTCTGGGAGGGTCTCCCAGCCACGTTGCATGGCTTTCACCACAGCATTGTAGAGTTTGCTCCAAGCTTCCTGCACCTCTGGGCTGAAGGCAGCACCAAGGCATTTCTCCAGCATGTACAGCAAGGACTCGCCAACAGTCTGCAAACCAAACAAGGAGGTGTCAAGCTCAGCACCAGAGGATGACATTCAGTCTCTTTTCTTACTTCACCACCTTTTTTGACTTCTCCAAGTGCAGGGCATCTGCTCCTCTTCCACCAACAGAGTACCAGGCCCCTCCAGTCCCTGGCTTATCAAAGGGGGCCCAGAACCAGCCCATGTCATCCTCTTCTCCTGCCCTATGCTGGCCCTCACCATGGATGAGTGCAGAGTGGAATTCAGGGAAGATGTGCTGACACTGCACAAGTAACAGCAGGGGAGATGTACACATCCAATTTCTGTGGCTCCCAGGTGCAGGCAGCTGGCCCTATCCCTTGGCATAGCAGTGGAGCAGCAGAGCTGAGCAATGCTCTGATGTCAGGAGAGTGGATCAGACTCCACGCTGGATGCTTAGGGCATGTCTCAGTGCCTCTCAGGCTTCTCCAGAAGGCACTGCTCCTCACAGAGCTGTGAGCAGCCCCAGGCAGGAGCACTCCCACACTGAGTGCAGGGCTGGTGGGGACCACCCCCACAAACAGAAGGGACCCTGCTCTCTCTGAAGAGGACAAAAGCTAACAATATCAGGAATGAGCCATGTGTGGGTTAGGAAGCTTTTCTTCAACACACCCTTCCCCACCGCATTTCTGTTCATGACTGATAGCAGGAGAGTGATCAAGGGTTTAATATGGAAGATGCTTGGGTGTTA